AAAAAAAAAAAAAGAATAGCAATGTCAGAGTCAGGGCTAAGAAACCAACTGGTCCTTGAAGTTCTGAACTCTTGACCATGACCTACTCATGTCCTGAGTCAAAGACTTTCAACTTAAATTATTCCAAGGAATAAAAAAAAAATTTTAATCAAAAATGGTAATCTGGTTCAGTGATTCCTTTACTTAGTTTCAATCAAACCACTATATTAAAAGGAAGTCAAAATTCTTGATTTCTTAACGATGAATGAAGTGAAATAAAGACTAAAGCTTTTGAAAGCAAAGCTGAGAGCAATTTCCTAAAGTCTCAGATTACATTCACTCAGCTAAACAGGGACTGAGACAATATAGATACAGAAAAGAGTTATTTAAAAACCAATTAACATGTTGTTTTTAAGGCTACAGTCTAAGGGTACAATAACTATTCTCTATAACTTTTAGTGTAGGTAGGAATAAGTGGACATAAGCCAAAACTTAACAATAAGGAAAGATTACAAGCAAATATGAGCATTAGGTAGCCATAAAAATTGTTTTCAAAAATGGTTTGGTGATTTTTGGGATCGTTCTTGATACAATATGAAGGAGGCAAAGCTTCACACACTTCTAATGCCAATTTTTATGAATATTACCAACAGATAAAAACTTGGAATAAACCCCAACTGAAAATAACACTGATAATCTCTGGTATTATTGATCACTTTATTCCTTTTGCTCTTCGGTATTTCACACATTTTTAACAATTCACTTACATAACTTTTAAAATTAGGAGAAAGACATTCAATAAAATTAACAGAAATACTTACTTTGGGGAGCTTAGGATTTAAGTGGTTGATTACTTCAAACTCAAAGTAAGAGGCAAAACCTTCATTAAGCCAGATACTGTTCCACCATTTCATGGTGACCAAGTTTCCAAACCACTTTTGGAGACGAGAAAAAAAGAGAACCTTCTTAAATTTAAGAAATATTTGGGGTGGTTACATGTTAAATAAATAAGGTAAAGTCAAAAGATATCCTTCAAATTTATTTGCTAAAATAGTAAAACTTGAAAATAAGACTCCAACAATCACATTAATGTTTTAACATAAAGAGTTATTAGCCAGGCATTGCTCTCAGATAATTATTTCATATCAGATTATTGAAATATTTTTTTTGTTCTTAAACCATGATGTCCAAAAATAAACTAACCTTGAGTAACACTTCTTAAACCATCCACCTGGTCCCAATATTCTGCTACATTCAATACAGCTGAACGAAGCCCTGAACACTGACTTACCACCTACTCACTTCATAGACAACATCAGGATTTTGCTCTAAGAAACTATCATGTTAAGAACATGGTTTGATCTGTGCCATTTAGTGATGAGACCATGCAGGTCATATGTTCTACTGTAACATAATTCAGCTGTAATTATTTTCTATTTCAGTTTAACAGAAAGAACGTGTCAAGTGGATGCCGAGCAGTATCAGGAAAGAAAAACAAAAATCTCCAAAACTAACAAGCCCATGACCTAGTATTGAACCAAAGACTCACAGCAGCTGTGATGCACTAATCGCAGCCTGCATTTCAAAGCAATGTGTCACCTGAGGTTGTAATAAAAAATAACACTTGGTAATACTGATTCAATGTGTAAAGGAGTGTTGACTGTGTAACAGGGTGTTTTCTCAATTCCAGTTATTTACTCTTTCCTAAACCTTTTTATGGCACTATGCCATTATGAAGATAATAATTTCATACTTTAAATGATTTCTTGCTTGAAAATCTTGTTTTAATGGAGTCAAGGCCAGAATTCATATGCAAGAATCTCTATCAAATTAAATGGCAAAATTTCTAAAATCACCAATGGGAAGCCATGGAGCTGTGACGAGGTAAATCATGAATCCTCCTTTCCACTGATTTGAGGACACAGTGAGCCCACATCCCTGACAGATTGCCTGCATCCTCTGAACTCTCCCCACCAAAATAAATAAATAACAAAACAGTGAAGATTAGAAACATCTACAATTGAAATATGGGTTTCTTTCAGTGACTGTTTTGTGCATCACTTTCTTTCAGAGGGAAAGGAAGACAAATCATCACAACCTGCTTGGCTTGCGTTTCCTGTAGCAGATACTCTAGAGCAAAATCAGCCTTTGGGACATAAATACTGGCTCCTTGTCTACTGTCAGGTTGAATTACCATGATCTAGCACAAATAACTCAAATTCACTCAGTATCTGATTACACTGTTTCTAATTACTGTCACATCCCTCAAATATATAGATTTAAATTCTTGGAACACAACAGGGATTTTCTAGTGGAGCAGCTGAAGAATAACTGTGTGAAGTAAGAACATTTTACCACATGCCTGATGTCCAATTTCATGGGACAAAATGAAGGCGATCACAGTCTTCTTTTCTGTCAGTTGGTCATTTGGTTGAAGCAACAATAATGACTCATCAAATACCAATAATCCCCAATTTTCCATTGCACGGTGGTCAAAAACAGGCAAGGCAATTATATCTAAGTGAATTTAAATGGAGAGTAAAATGAAAACGCTGCTTCCAAGAAATGTGGAATTTCTAGATATAACTGTCATAAAATGAAGTAATATATTTACTGAAAAAAGTAAGTAAATAAGAGAGAAGGCTTTAGTTAATGACTCGTATCAAAAACAAGAACCAGAAACTACATTATTTTGATATATAAAAATTAAATAACATAGTTGACCAAAAGACATCATAAACAAATTCGAAAGACAAGCCACTACAGGGAAAATACATATGGCATAAATTATAAATAACTAGGCAATTTAAAAAATATTTAAGGAACTCTGACAAATCAAAGAGGAAAAAAAAAGCAAAGATATGAACAATTCACTAAAGAAAGCATGCAACAAGGAGGGTGTGAGAGGCCTGGTAGGGCGTGATCAAGGGCAATG